TGTGAAAAAACATTAAAATGAAGAAACAAAACAAGTGGTTTGCCTTTCTGGACAAAAAAACGAAACAATTCACTACTACTGGTAAAACGAAGTTGAGGAAAAGATGAAAACCTTAAACTGTTAGGAAAACACTTTTTGAGTTTTTGGTCAACCTTGATAGCCTCACTTTTTAGGGATTATCCACGATCTTAATTGGAATTTGTACAGATAGATGAATCGGCTATATAAAGGAAGATGTGAATATAAACTTTGATGCATGACATTAACTCGTTCATAAACGACATCAGTGAGGATCCTTCTGGCATAAAATAAAACAGGTTGAAGGACAAGGAGTAACATCAGATAAGTCTATTGGAAAATGTGTGAAAAATTGCATTACATGTTAATTTTGGGGCAATTTTTTGAGTGGGGTCCACTTCAGATTTGGGTCGGGTCAAAGTGGTTTCGAATTGTCCTTGCTAAGGGCTACAATTCGATATATGGTACGCTCAAAACGGATAACGGGTGAATGAGAAATTGATTCTCGAAGTTTACCAGTTAGAATGGAAAAACTGGGGAAAAAGGATGAGTTTCTAGTGTGTTATTTCTCACACCGGAAAACCCAAGGGATTTGCAACCCTTTATAAAGGGACCCCCCCTTAAGAAGTTAAGATTCCTAAGGTGAATTGCTCTCTCACGCGCGCAGGGAGGGTGCAAATCAAATCCTGAAACGGAGAAGAAAAACTGCGACTTGCGAGCGCGGGCGACCTGCGGACACGAATGTCGTCCAAAAATCTATCTATCAAGAGATACGATTTAATTTTTTTGTTTTCTTCCCGAAACGTTTATTTTTTCCAGTGGCAGAACTGCTTCGGCCAGAATGCCTCGGACAGAACCCCTCAATAAGGTGGTTTGGTGGCCTCGTAGCAAAACCCCTCATAGGGTGTTCTGGTGGCCTCGGAACAGAACCCCTCAGAGGGTGTTCTTGTGGGGGTCTTGTCGTTTAATGCAACGTTAAATGGACAGTTCATGGACGATTCAATGCCCAACGGACTGGTTATTGATGTCCAACGTTCAGGTCCATTGATTTACTATTTACGCAAAACAAATTCTTCTATATAACGGCTGACAGGTGGTTTGCAACAACACAAGTTCTTACACGTTCTTACACGAGTTCATACACATTCCTCGCGTATTTCTTCAGCTAAAAACACTTCCAGCTACCTCTGAAAATTTCCTTCTGTGTTCATACTTTGTTCTCGTTCGCTGGAACTTTTGTGTGTGTGCTCAAACATTAGTTCGTAGTCATCATATTCTGGTAAACTATTGTTGCAACGCTCCTAGCACCGTGGGAGGCAACAAATACGTTTTAAGGACATTGTGCGTAGCACGAGCTTTGGCTAAATTCTGCTCCATCTTATATCTTGTTTTTCTTTAGTCATTTTAATTAATTAATTTTAACTAATTTTCTTTATTTCCCGAAACACAAAACCAACTCTGTATGATATTTTGAATAAAATATCACATATCACAAAGTTCATAACTATATAACTGCTAAAGATTTAAAATTCAGTAGCAATTCAGGTTTGAAACTTAAATGCGAAGGATACCAATAACCTAAGTGATTAAACCCTAAAACCCGAAATTTAAGTATAAATTGAAAACTGAAATTAACAATAAAAACCTGAAATTCTGAATCATAATCTATTATCAATGAAATGATTAATTACCAATAATCAAATAACTTTGAAAATATATAATCAGTTACTCACATAGACTAACACTGATGAGGTAATGTGATCAAGTAAATATGAAGTTCTAAAATGTGAATGATAATAATCCAATTTCAATTAAATTAGATTTTCTCCTTTTGCCTATATCAATAAATAAATAATTAAATAAATAAATAAGTCTTTCATATTAAAAGGGAATTACTAAAACAACCAAAATGTAGATGAATGGATAACCAATAATCATTATTTAATATTTCAATTCATCTTATTTAAAGATTCATGCTGAGTTAACAGACAAACATGATGCGTAGAAGAGTGATAGTGGATTTTGTGTTCTTATAGTAGTGAAGTGGAGGCGGCTAAACCGCTGAAGTGCCGATTGAGGAACCTGTATTTCAAGCAAAGAGCCGATTGATCGATTCTGCGAGAGCATGCGAAGACTCCTAAGAGCAAATAGGAAGGTGAGGCGAAGAGCAGAGGCAGAGGGACTTCAAATTCTTGATTCCTTTTATTTGATTCTTCATCGTCTCGATTCTAATTCCGCAATTCCCAATAGCGACGAGCCGACGACGAAGGCAAAAAGGGTTAGTCGGCTACAAACTGCGTTTCTTAACAGAGTTAGGATGATTTTACTTAGACGGTAATTTGTCCAAGACCAGAGTAGGATAGTTATAAAAATACAAAGAGACCACACATTATTAAACCAGAGCAGGTCAGACCAACAAATTACAGTCCAAGTAAAAACATCATTATTCTCATTTTGAAAATGCACAAATAATTAGCACAAAGTACATGCGAATTAAGCTATACTATACCACCAACAAATTTTTTATATCTAAAATAGGCCTACTCTTATTCATGCTTATTATTTTGTATAACTAAAAGATATAGAATTGGTTCAAATGAGAAAATAATCTTAGAAGATAGATGAAAATGAACCTGAACTGTTAGATTGTGTTATGTGAAATTGAATGGACATAGGGGTGGGCAAAATTACCGAACCGACATGATATCGAACTGAACCGGTATGGTACCGGACCGATAAACGAGGTTTGAAACAGATCTCAATTTTTTTTGTCCTGAACCGGACCGGCTCCAAACAATGTCATGACGGGTTCTCATAAAATGAGAATCGATACCGGACCGAAGTATAGTTTAATTATTTGAATTTGTACTACTATAGTTTATCTGAAATTTATTAATTGCCTCATATGTCCCAAATTGATTTGCAAAGTCAACCTTTTTTGGTCAATGTTAATGTTAAGTCTTACCTAGTGATAATTAATACAATTTTTAATAATTAAAATTTACATATTTAGAAACCACATTAAAATCTCTTTAAAGTTGCAAAATTCAAATAAGAATATACGAAGTACTTTTTTTGAAGAGACAAATTAGAATATAATTAAAAAGTGAAATCCTAATGAAGTGAATAAAAAGAAACGGTTTGACCAAAAAAAGGTTGACTTTGCAAATCAATTTGGAACAAGGCTAGTATGAAATATGAAAATTGATAAATTGTGTGGATTTTTGGAGGATGACTAAACTTCCTTAAACACTTGAAAAAAGTGACATTGTTTGGTATTGGTATGACATGGTACCGTCCCGTTTAAAAATGGATTGTACCGAACGGGTTTAAGTCTAAGACCGAACCAAACCGTTTCAATAGTAACGGTACGGGTACGGGTTTGGCAAAATATTGTACCGGACCGGACCATGCCCACCCCTAAATGTGCATGAGATGAAAGTGAAACGTGCCTTAGATAAAATTGAAACATGCATCACAAAGGGTATAACACAGTGACATTACTTGAAGATGAATTGTGCATTAGGTGAAACTGAAATGTGCAGAATAAAATGTACGATACAGTGTCATTTTTATACCTTTTATTCTACACATTTCAATTTTACTCGATATAGACGCACATTTGAGTTTTATCTTTTACTATTCACATTTCAATTTTTTCTAATGCACATTTAAGCACAATTCATTTTCACACAATACAATCAAATTTCAAAGCTTAATTGGTGACCATGTTTTTCGCTTTTTGATTTTGTGCGCTGAATGCCTGATTTTTGAAATAATAAGATATTTAATTAATAATTTTTCTTTCATAAATCAGCCAATACTGTCACTTCGATAAAAATTTCATAAATTTCAGTAGAATAAGTCGATGTAGTCGATTTGTGTATTACTAGATGAACTCTATTCACAACCCTGAAATTGCTATACACATTCACCTAATTAAATAAAAAAAATCAAATACCTAAATTATCCTTAAAAAGAATAAGGATTAAAAGAAGACAAACTGCGAAGGTGAATAGATAGTAGAGCTCTGGTGCAGCTCACACTGGTCTGGGTTCACCACTTCGCCGGAGAGCTCTCCAAATCGGTCAATTCGCCCCTATAACTCTTTACTTATCTACTTCTCCGTGCACCTATACCCCTCCCCGCCCCCGAGTCCTGCTCGTCTTCCAATTATCCACTTTCTTAAGCCGTCGATCAGAAATTTTAAGCCATAGATTCAGAGGGATCGACTTGGTCGGAGTTTCATACGGCGTGGAGCTGTCTATTCGACCTGCGGCAAAGTATCCAGCGCTGCAGCCTCTGTGCACTTCCTCTTGCCGCCGCTAGCCTTGTTAGAGACCGGAATTTCAGGGACGCAACAAGCTCCCCTGCCTTGCTGATTTGCCAGAGACATTCCTTTTCCCATTCTGTGGCCCTCCAAGATCCACGAGCTGGTTCCGTCATTGATTCCTCATCCAACATCAACTTTCATTCTCTTCTCCAACAACCAGCACCCCCGCTAGGTTTTGCAATTTAGAATTGATATGATCGTATTGCTGTATTTCTTTCCGTTGAAAGCATTTTCTATCTCATTAGAAAGATCTTATCGAGTTCTAAACTCGTATTCAGGCGTAGGTTTCAAAATATTACGGGATGATTATCTAATGAACCGAATTTTGAATCCAAGACTGTGTTTACGCAAAAAATGCTCTAGTTTTTTACTTATATAAGTAATGTATATGTCCAACAAATAGAAAATGATTAAACAAAACATACGTCCTTGTTATAATCCAATAAATAAAATTAAAAAAAGTAAATGTTTCATTCACTTGCGCACCATCACTAACTTCTGAAGTACGTTCCATATTTGAGGATAAAGAAAGGTCCATAGCACTTACTAGAACTTGGAAACAATTGAAATTGAAACAGCGCAGCCTCTCACCCAAAAACCCCTTGCCTTCTCTTCGGAGATGATGGTCTCTATGTCAGCAGACCAGCCGTGAGCCGTGAGCCGTGAGCCGTGAGCCGTGAGCCGCCCAGCTTGTAGCAGTCCAACGGTTGAAGCAAATAACCCTTACGCAAGAGCCAAGCTTCGGTCGCAGGTATTTTTTACAAAGAAGACATTAATCCCGATCGATTGCCCAAACCTTTTCTTTAAAAAAATTCAGAAGAAACGCGTCGGCCCACATGGATTGCCGTTTCTCGAAACCCACTGTTGTGCTGGAGATCCCTTTCCTCCATTTTCTTCTTTCTTTTCAATCTCCTTTCTTGCTTCCGTCAAGACTCAAGACCAGATAAAACACCGTGTACCAGTATACGTGCAGAAGGGTAGAATAGGGAACAAAATACTTTATGGCTTTTTGTTAATTTGTGTACCATTGGGCTATGTTGTATCTAATTTGGAACACAGGATAGTATACTTTAACCCAAAACAACACTTACCATGCTGATGCAGGGAAAGCAAACAAGTCTTTCCAAAGAGAAATGCCAAACACAGCTGTTGATTCGAGTTTGCACCACACTTTCAAATACTTACTAGGTTTGTCAATTTAAATATTAAGTTGAATGTCCTCCCTGTGTGGTCCAGTATTATATACATACCTGTATAAATGTATAATAATGATCTTCATTTTCAGCTACACAATTTCTGTCAAGGGGAATCCCGTTCGTATTCAATTCCTGGATTGTTAGACATCTCTCAGAAGAAGATTATGCGGTAATTTACAGTTTTTTGAACTCCAACTATTGCTTTTATAATTAGTTTCACTAATTCCTTATGGTTTAGTAACCTCGCATTGGGGGAGACGATGTAAAAAAGTTATGGTAGTATAGAGGGAAAAAAAATTGTTCTTCTTGGCGATTGAGAATTTATAAACAACTTTATGAGAAATGATGGAAGCATGCTGATGGAAAACATTTTTTTTCATCAATTGAGAATTTAGAAACAATTTCTTGAATTCAATGGATTCCAGATGCAAAGAGCTAGTACTGGGTGATTGGGTCCCCATGGATCGGTTTAGGCTTTGTTTGGAATCAATTAAATGTGATGGTTTGGCTGAATCAGAACTCAAAGAAAAACACATGTAGGTCCATCACGAGTTATTATAAAAATGGTATCTTCAACATTCATGTGTCTTCTCGAAATTGGTTGAGAATGGTTACACTGGACTTATTCAGGCCCTTTCAAAATTTAACATGGGCATTTGCAAAGATATCAACTATCATGAGCATAGTTGGAGTCTTGGAGCCTCGCTATATATAAATTATGCATTTTAATTCATATGATTTTATACAAGTGATCCTGGTATTTCTGTCACTGTAGAAGTGGATATGTATGTTAGCATTGTGAGTCATTTTGCGGAAATGAAAAAGATGCATTATTGATAGACATTCTTATGTGGCACACGTCTGTTTGGTTGATGATCACATAACTATTTTTTCATTACCCAATGAATGCGTGACAAAGAAGAATGTGATTTAACAGTGTCTAGTTTCAATGTATCCCAAATCTTTTTGAAGAATTATTACTTTTCTGTGAATGCTACTTGTTTTTTTGTATCTTGAAGTACCATGTAAAGTTTTTTTTTGCACAATGCAGGTTTGTGCTGTACAATTCCATCTGTTTGTGACATGCATATTGTTTTTGAGTAGAGAGGGATTCAGGCGAGCGTGCATGAGGGAAGATATCACATGGTATTTTCAATTAGGTTAATGAGCATTGTTATTCCCTTCAATATGCATATTTTGTTGATCCCCCAATTCTTGTCTCGCCCAGTTGGTTGCCTTCAGTATGCCTGAGTGATTTGCTTCCTTTTAATTGTTGATATGTAATGATGCGATTTTAATGGAACATGGTCATAGCACCCTGAAGATTCTTTCTCATTATTTTTCATATAGATGGCATAGACTGCATATCTGGATACATAAAGCTCCTTTCATTTTGTTTCATATAAGGTAATTTTTTTCTTAGTGCTCTGGTGCATTTGATGCAAATGTTGACATTACATTTTTGCAATGAGACATGACTATATCAACGATCTCAACCCAAACTGTCTCATGATACTTTCTCTGTAAATAGTAACTTTTATCAATGATCGATGATGGTTTTGAATATTTCATTATTTCTTACATTATTCCTTCCATAATATTAACAAATCGGGTGTAAAACGTTGCCACTATGCTTTTGCCTTAGCACACAAACATTTTAGCATTGAATAGTTTTAAGAATTATATGACATCACTTTCATGCCGCTGACCCAACATTGTTTATATTAAGGCGGCGATGATGAATGTACTGAAATCAAGCACACATGAATGTTAATGTTGCATCTTCGTACAGTTTTTTGAAAGTAATCTGAAAATTTGATTTAGCAGGGATGGTGCTTCAGCAGCAGGAGAAACTGAAGCTAGGCTTTTGAAAGTCGCCTGGATGACCTTCCCATTAGGGGTACTGGTCACATTTTTTGCTTGTTTGATTGTATTCTGGTGGCAAGATCTGGGTTATTCCAGTCCTTATGGACGAGCTATCTTGATTAATGGTAAGAAGCTAATAACACTATGTCACTATCACATGCTTCACGAAATTAATTATCCTAGCGCATTAACACACAAGCTATGTCTTAAGGGTTGTAGATTGTTAGAATTGGACAAAGTTGATAAAGGAAATTCTGAATTCGGAAGGCATTTTTGGGGAAAAACTAAAATATATATTGCAGGAGTGACAACTCAACTTTGTTAGGAATCTGGCAATAATCCAAGTGAAAACAGTAAACAAGCACTATGGATCTGATAAGAAAATTGGGAAGATGAAGTTTATTGATAAGAAAATATCTCAACGTAGGCAACAAGGCAACCGGGACTGTTAGAGAAGCCCACTCTCCAAGGCAACACCCAAATCAAAATACAGCCTATCCTTATTTAGTTATCCCCTTGCTATTTATAGTAATAGGTCCACACAGGGACTAAAATAGATAAAGTGATTCATAAATTGATCCCAGCCCTTTTATTCTCCTCTTGTACACTTTCTTAAAGTAATGACTAGGCCTTTGCACCATTTGCCTAAGTAGCCTAACAAACTTTTAACGGCACTAAGAGGCCAAGTGGCAAACTAAAACGCAGGGACTAAAATAGATAAAGTGATTCATTAATTGACCCCAGCCCTTTTATTTCTCCTCTTGTACACTTTCTTAAAGTAATGACTAGGCCTTTGCACCATATGCCTAACAAACTTTTAACGGCACTAAGAGGCCAAGAGGCAAACTAAATTTTTTTGGTCCCTTTTATTTTATTGATGTTGCCATTTAATTGTTGCCTGTGTCATCTGTTGTGTTGTATTATTGTTCAAGGTTTTTACTATAAGCACTTGACCTTATTCATTAATAATTGATTGTGGGGAGCGGATTGTTGACTATGGGTTTGCATGCGTGCTCTTTACCTTCTGATCATATTTTCTGGTAGAGAAAAGAGAATAGTTGTTTAGTATATACACTGTAATTAAGTTTTCTTCCATCAATTTTTTGTTCAATAGTTGTGAATTGTGTTTTAATATGTAAAAAATCACATGCAGGTTTTGCATGCATTCTTGAGCTATTGGCAGAACCATTTTTTATTTTGGCCCAAAAATTGGCTCTTCTCAAATTGCGGCTGATCGTTGAAACTGCTGCCACTCTTTCACGTTGTATAGTAACATATGCTCTCATCCTGAAGCAACCAAGCCCGGTAAGTAGTAATGCTAGATGTGTTTTGTGGTTTCCTGACGGGGCCTATGCTGGTATTAAGTGTATCTGTATGGTAATAAACCTATGTGGGTCCTGTGTGAGTATGATAAGAGTAATAAGACCTAGATGAATTAATTTTCGTATTTTGTAATGTGGACACCAAGGATGCCTAAATCGTAAATTTGAATCAAACTGGTGAATTAAATAATAAAACACGAAATCATGAACTGGAAATTTTTCTAATAGTAATTAAAAAGTTCTAAAATTAGTGACAAGAAAAGAAAGATTAAAATAAAAGTTTGATTAATAAATTAAAAATGTGTTAAAACCACTTGAAATGTGATCTAACCCATACTAACCCCACTTAGCAAATATACAAATCCAAGCACTTCCTTTTTGGTAGTTTCTTCTCTTCTTCAAAAAACAGCCATTTTTTTCAGCCGCACAAAAAAAAAAAAGAAACAGGACATAGCAATCAATAGCAAAAATCCTGGGAGAAGATATTTCAATCAGACCACCTCCAGTCTCCTTCAAGTCTCATTTAATTCGAACAACAAGCACTATGTAGAAGAGTGCAATCGATGATCTATCGGCTTGATGTTAAGATTTTGATTCAGTGGTAAATAGTTTATATTTTCTCTTTCCGTTTGGGGCTTAACAAACACAAAAATAACTGAATTTGATGCTTCTAGACTACCATAAATAAGGAACCTCTACATATCACATTAGGCTAGAACAGCTATAGACTCACATAGTCCTATCTGGTTAGACTGACATAGTCCTAAAGCACAATCGATCCGTCAGGACTATGTGAGTCGATGTCAGTGGATGTTTGGCGTCGACTGGTACAATTCTTCTACGGATCGATGACACTGGCAAACTGGTACAAGTTGCTCGCGGCGAAACCTGCGGAGTGGGGCCTGGGGCCTGGGGGGAGTGGTTAGTGACTACGAACTGGGGACTTCTGCTTGCGGCGAAGCTGGCGAATTAGGAGAAGTTGTTTGCGACTGAGACAAAACCTGCAAATTCAGAGTAGTTAGCGACGAAGCTGTAGTATTGGGAGAAGCTGTTTGCGTTGGCGGGGAGCCTTGCTTTCAGAATTCCGGCAACATCGCACGGTCCTTGACCCCCCTCTTCGTCGACGACGTTGTTGCAGCAGATGGTTGCAACAATGTTATTCTACACTTCCAATGTTATTCTCCATCTGCACACGTGTAAAACTTACTTTCTCCAGCAATCGTCAATGTTCTGATACCAATGATAGGAACCTATTCTTACAGTAGAAACAAACAATACGTATAATCAGTAGAAAATATCAGGATTCACTAAGCTACTTCAGGAAACAAGCTTACAAGGAAGCTATTGTCTAGCGTAATAAGAAAGAATAGAAACAATGAGACACTTCAAGCAGCATCCCTCTCCCAAGCCCAATTTCAAATGAATTCTAGCCCGGCCCTCTCCCTTTTCTATTCCTTCTGTTTTTTATTTTCTAATGAGGCTTCCCCTCAATCTAACTAGTTACTTGGCCCAGCCCACTTCCTTTTTACTCATTAAAATATCCAGTATTATTTCTATTAATTCTCTTTCCATAAGTCCAGGTCCCTATTACTCAGTGCCTCAGTGCCGCAGAGGCATAAGCCTCGCCTGCTGTTTAAAAGCATGCTCATGAGCCTTATTATAAAGCAAAACAATAATCCACAATCAAGATTTGAATGTGCAAAACTTCAAACCAAGCAATCTGAAACACTTAATAGTTAAGAGTTCAATGCACCCCTCCTTGCTAGCAAGTTTACCCTCAAAATTGAAGGATAGATATCGGTGTCTAACTAGTGCTTCTTTAGCTCCATGGTGTAATTGGTAACCAAGAATGGGGTGAGGTTGTTGAAGCCTTGAAGAGATTCCGGAGCGGAGGCAGTGGAAGTGAACTGGCAGGCCGTTCCCTCAGAATTCCTGTGTCAATGTGACATGGAAGTCATTGTGAATGCGGTTGCAGTGGGAGGGACATTGATACACAACTTAACCCCCTTGGCGTTGAATTTGATAAGTGCAAAATAACCGAGAGATGAAAAACGTTGGGGATGTGGCTGTCAGGTGGAAGGGCCAATTGAAGCGCAACTTGACCCTCTGCATTTGGTCTGATAGTGGGAAAACCAAGGAGATAGTGTTTGATTGGCACTAAAGCAGGCCAACCTGTGTTGGTTGGGACGGAGACTGAGCCAGACCCATGAGTGTCTTGGGCTGGATGCCCCTAGTATCTTTATTTGCTACACTGTCATGCCTTGGGCACAGAGTAAGCAATCCCGAGTGATGGAGAGAATGTTAACTTACTGTTGGAGAAAGGCATTAGTTTCGCTGAAGAATGAATCAAGGGGATATTTGATGAGTTATTTGATGTTGGGGTCACTAAATGACTAAAAGAAAGAACTTACCCTTTATATTTAGTTTGTTCTTGAAAATTATGAAGAATATTTCCCCCTAATTACCATATTCCCTAGGGCTGTGGTAACTGCATCCATATTTGTAAAACTTCAAGTTAAGATCTTAACTGTCAAGTCCGAAGGCTGATTCAATTTCTTCTCTTAGAAATATTGCCTTTCACAGTTCCGCTACTTGATGTTCATCTTGTAGTTGTTTGTATGATGACTTTGCTGTCTAAAGGCCAAACCATGTATTTCACAACTGTATGCATCCTAAGTCCTAACCTGAAAATTTGGAATTTCTTCATAGATTTCAGCTTCCTTACCACTACATAATACTTCAATGCAACTTTCCACTTCATAATAAATTCAATGCAACTTTCCTTCTACATAATACTTCAATCTCTTAAGTATCTCCTAGGGTTAGAGGTAAGATCTATGTACTTGTCACCCTCCATTGACCTTGCTTTCAACTGGGGCATACTGGGTATGTTTTGTTTTGTTTGGTATATGTAATGATAATGTGCTCATATCTTGATCTAGAGAACATTCAGTTACCACACTTGTATTCTGACTGGTTTCTTTTTACCTGTCTTATATCTTGTAAATTTATATTCATGTTTTGCTTGGCCAATGGCCATTGTATTGCTGAATTTATCTGTTTGTGTAGTCTCCAAGTCCGTTTAACTGCACCTGCTGATTATTGATGAGTCACATATGACATGAATTGCAGGAGAAAGCAATTGTATTTTCAATGTCACAGGTTGCGTATGGAGCATCTATTTTCATAGGCTACTGGGCTTACTTTTTTCTGTGCCAATTATACACAACTCGTGTTCTATTTCCATTCAGGTAGTGATTTGATTTATCCAATCATCTTCAGCTGTACATTCTTTCTACATAAAAGCCGGGGGGTAGAAATTTTGTTTCATAATGGAATTCAAACGCGTTTTCCATCATTTGCAATGGAGCCAAAGATTCACTATTTTTGGCTTGAGAATATAATGGAATAAAGCAAAATGGCTCACTAAACTGACTGCGCTTTTTGGTTATGAAGCAACATCTATGCAATTTTGGATGCGATTTTCACTATGGGTCATCCAGAAAAGTCTCTCTGTGCTTTAGTACAGGGGTTAGACTGCGTACATCTGACCCCCCCTTACCCTACCGTAGGTGGGAGCCTTTGCGGCACTGGGGTAATGATAATGATGATGATGAATGGAATTCAAACGCTGTTGAAGGTTCACTTATCAGTGAATGACTCCTGTTAGATTACTTAGATAACAATTCATCACATGAAGTCTTGGCAGTTTAATAGCTCTCTGAACTCTGTGAAGTTCAAAGATGTGATGTGTGCACGGTTGAGCGTTAAGCAAAATAATACTCCCTCCGTCCCTATATAAACTTCCATTTCGCTTTTCGAGGGTCAACTTAAATCACACTTAAACTCTTACTTTATGTATCAAAATTTTATAAAAAGTGAATTATTTTTTGCAGGCTTTGTAGCGGGTTTGATGTAGTTTCTGAATATGTAAATTTTATTTTCTAAACATAATCCGAGTTTTCACAGGGATCATTTAACTTTATCGCTGGTCAAACTTCGTAACCCGCAATTGGAAGTTTAATATGGGACGGAGGTAGTAATTGTTAATAATAATAATGCTGTAATATATCTGTAGAGTTGAAGTCACCGTTTATTCATAATAAGAGATGCAGTAGATTATAAATACGGGGACGATAAATCTATGTTTTCTTACACTTCTGTCCAATATTTGGAGTTATTCCAGACTATCAATAAAAAATCTTTGCTGCATCACTGCATTGTCCCTGCCATGTTCCCATTATAAGAGATAATGAGTAAAAAGGGGAAATGTCTTCGTCACGTCCCATACACATAATTGATAATTCCCATTCCCTTGTTTTTAGAAGTGTCTGTGTACTATTTTTAGAGATGTTGCTGCTGGTTTCTAATAGATGCCATCCAGATCAGTATTGTCTATAGTAGGTGCTTGTGATAAAATGCATTTGCCATAGCCCACAGTACTTTCATCTTTTATTCTTGTTAGATATGTATAATGAAACAGTGAGTGTCAAGATATTGGAAGATGAAGTAGTTATACATAAGTATTTATTGTATACAAAATGTGAAGTTACAAAATAACGTATTTATACTTTTCGCGTTTGAATTTCTATTGGTATGATCTTATATGGTGAGGCTTACACTTTGATTGATGATCATACGTTGTGACGAGGCTCACAACACCTCAACGCACATTTTAGCTTTTCTAAACATGGGTAGTTCTCTGAAACCCTTTCTATGTATTTTATCCAGTCACAAGGCACTTCAGTTTTTGGTCAACCATTTGTCCTATAGATCCTAAAAAGATGTCATTCAGTCAATTCAGATAATACTTCCAATAGAACCAAGAGTCTTAGTGCACTTACACGGACCATGTGTGTATTTACGTGTGCCTGGCATTTTCTGAAATAAATTACTTTAATGTAGCTTCCTAATTTGAGTTGAATAGGGTTCTTTAATAGATTAAGAGACTAGTTCTTTTAGTTCTCACTGTACTGATAATGTTGTTGTTGCAGGATAGGAAATACAATAAGCTATGATCAACGGCTTGTGAACATGTGCATGATACTTAATCTTCAATCCGTTCAGAAGCTGATTCTTCAGGAAGGTGAAAAGATGGTCCTTGTATGGTTTGATACACCATATAACCAAGCAGTATATGGACTTGTAGACAAACTAGGTAATTCATTCCTGGGCCATATACTTGGTGGGGGTTTTCTTTCGTTCACTTATTCCTTTCCCCCCTCTCCACCCTTGTATAGTTTCTAATGTTTGATGTAGACTATGCATGCACATGTGTATCTTTTTCAATCTCCCTTGCACTGTTTAATCAGTGCTCTAGAGATACATATTGCTTTTTCAGGGAGCCTAGTGGTGAGGCTGATTTTTCTTCCCTTTGAAGAAAGCTCATATGCAACGTTTGCAAGGTTTGCATCAGGTTTTTATCACATCCTAAAAAGTTAATTTTCATGTCCTAAAAAGTTTATTTCCTTAAAATATGTAATAGAATGATTTTGTTGTCTAGTTATAAATAATACTCCCTCCGTTCCATTATAATTGTCCCATTTTTCCTTTTCCGTCTGTCCCACTAAATTTGTTCCATATCATATTTGGTAATATTTATGTGACTCTAATTCATTCTTACTTTATTTCCACTTTATCAATTCATTATCAACCACATAACTGTATTTTTCTTAAAAACCGCACCACTCTCCTTTTTCCCAATTTTAGGTAGACGGAGGTAGTATTACTTTATAATAGCATTGTAGCCACTGACTGGAACAACCCAAAGTATTACTCCCTCCGTCCCGCTAAGATTGTCCCATTTTAGTACGTCCCACTAAGGGCCCGTTTGTTACGAATTACGATGCAAAGTAAACACTTCGCATGCAAAGTGTGGGGAAGTAAACATTTTACATCGTTTGTTTTAACTGTTGTGTAATGTAAACTGTAGGGCACTTTTTCAAAAACATTTTACACTGTACCATGTAAAATACTTTACGTGGGGGGACGGTAGTAAACTAGTTTACACCCGTGTTATACAGAGAAAAAATACAACTGTCGAATTACAATTTCAATCTATCCACCGAAGTACTGAACTATCTGGTGCATTCGTGTATCATCATCACTTTCTGGTGCAAGATCTCAAATAAATGAATCTCTTGCTGGTGCAATCGTCTATTACTGGAAAAGGTTGCACCTATTAAATTGCTTCTCTGTTGAGTGGTTGGCTTCATAATCTGCTAGAGTGGTGTCGATTCTACATTCCAGATTTTCGAGATTCGAATAGAACTTGGCTAGGAAAATGTGCACGGTGTTTGCTAAATGGCCAAAAAATCTTGTGGTTCACACCAAGGCTTGTTGAACGGGCACAGTATTACTTTTGTAAAAGTTTTACATTCTAAAGAGTTTGCATGTAAAGAAATATAGACTGCCAAATGGTTTATTTTTATTTTACATGCAAACTAAATACAGCCCTAAACTTTACATGCAATCATTTTACGTGTAATATTTTAATGTGTGAACTAACAAATGAGCCCTAAGATTGTCCCATACCAAATTTGGTAAAGTTTGTGTGGGTCTAAATCATTTTACTTTATCAATTCACTATCAACCATATAAACCATTTTTTATTGGTTTGTGTGTCACTCCCTCTTGTCCCATTGGTAGTGGGACGGAGGGAGTAGATCACTTCTTACAGGTGATCAAACTATGAATTGTTTGTTTATATTTTACAAATAACCCATCACACAGGAATATAGATGCTATTAATCTAAAGGGACTGAAATGCTTTGAGCAAGATCCTGATATGGTGGACTCGTCGAGAGACTCAACTTTGTCAGTGTAATTAAGCTAGCAATTATATGATGTTATTAATGAAAGAAACCTCCGTTTTTTACTACTCAAAAATCTTGAAGAGCAACTAAATGGAGTACTAACCTGTTGGAATATTTCTATAAGGAACATATTACAAAATTAGAATATCAATATCTAATAGGAAACAATTTCAAATAACAATATTAGGAAATCGAAACTAAGGGTGTTTTTACTTGGACTGGTTTCAGTCCTAAACCAGACCAGACTTTGACAATTGTAAATACACATAGACCAGACATCTACTAGACCAGTTCAGACCAGACCAGGCTTAAAAATTCAGTCTAAGTAAAACATCATAATATTCTAATAATAATAATCTTAGGATAATAACATCAATAATACCCACAAGAACAACAAAAATAGGAAGACTCTTTCTGCAATACTCTGCTCTTTTCGATCCGTGTTGCTTTAGGACGAGTCACATCATATCAAGGTCCCTCCAAGTTTTAGCAATAAAGGAATCCAAGTGAATTTAGCTTGGTTCCATATTATAAAAGTGTCCATGGACAAAATTTCAATTAATTTAACACTAGATAACAAATAAAACAATACTACCTCTGTTCCATAATGTAAGATGCATGCGGGTTTGGTGCGTTTTTAAGAAAGAGACAAATGGATCCACAAAAAGTAAAGGGTGAAATGATACATAAAGGGATAAAGTGGGAACATAAAAAGTTAGTGGAGTCCAATTTAAGAAAGTGTTCATATTTTTGGGAAAACCAAAAAAGGAAAGTGAATCCTACAAAATGGGACGGATGGAGTATTTTTAAAATCTTTAAGTCTTTAATAAATAAGGATTAGAAAACTTATCCTTCTAGATGGTTCAAGTAAAGGGACATAAGTTTTCAATCTAGGAATTGATGTGGTCCAATAGTTATTCTCATCTTAGATTTAGAGCGAATTCATTCATCACAAAAGAGTTGTGCACCTGCAGGAGATCAAGAACGGAAAAAGGAGAAATTGGGAAGGAGTCTGACAGATGCACTGAAGCTTGTTTTGCTTATTGGTAGGCAACTGGGTATTACAAATTAATCGATTATGTTTGATAATGTACAGCTTTTTAATGGTCAATTATACCACTTAAACATTTTTCCAGGATTATTTTGAGTCATTGACTATATAACTGCTTGCTAATTTAGCTTTACAAAAATTTTGTTCAATTTTTTTAGCTGACCTTAAAAACCGGCTTTTTGGACTGACAGAATATCTTATACCCCGCGGTACTTTGTTTGAGCAATTCCGTTTAATTTTCTTCCATGCAGTAAGAAATATTCCATAATAAGGTCCAATTATGGACTTTGAATTGTAGTATTAGTCCCTTGATGTTGCGGTGTTTTAGCTAGTAAATGCATCTTTTCCTTTCTTTTTCTCCTAAAGCTTATCATTTTGATGGACAGGTCTAGTTGTTATCGCGTTTGGTCCAAGCTATTCGTACTCCCTCATCAGATTGCTGTATGGTAGAAAATGGAGCGATGGAGAAGCTACCAAAGTACTCCAATGCTATTGCCTTTATGTGATAGTTTTGGCCATGAATGGTAAATTTTTGCAAATGTAACTTAGGTGTATTTTGTTTGTGAGTTAAGATATCCTGAAGTTGGATTTTGCCGAATTTTATGCTACATCGTAATGTTGATTATCTCCAAGAAAAAATGTTTTATTTGCTTGTTTGGAAATATAAGATATCACATTTTCAATTAGGGACGTCTGAAGCATTTCTACAGGCAGTTGCAACAAAGGAAAAGCTTAAACGGTCAAATGGTTCATTGCTTGTTTTCTCATTGATATATGTGATCGCGAACGTCTTGCTTATCAGATCAGCAGGCGCAATTGGATTGATTTTGGCAAACTCCCTGAGTATCCTTTTCAAAATATCTCTAATTGAGGTTATTCAAATTTTAAAAGTTATGTGTTGATTGATTGACGGTTCATGTAGTCTATGCTTTTTGCCTTCTTTGACTGCAATAGATATGATCCTCAGGATAGTTTACTCGGCGGTTTTCATCAAAGAGTATTTCAAGGTAGCATAGCTCTGATATTATTAATGCGTACAAAATAATAGTAGTAGTTTTGATTATATCTTTGACATTTTAGAATTGTTACAGGAATCATCATCCTTTGCGTTTAGAGCTTGCATGCCTGGAGGTTATGAATTTGTGTTGCTATCAGGAGTAGCCACCTTCATAGTTGAAAGGATGTACCTTAACCGAGACAGCTTCTCTGCCACCTTTACCATTCACTTCTCATTTGGTTTATTCTGTTTTCTTGTGTCCGCTTTCGTTATGTGAGTATCTTTTTATGCATTTTTTCTCTTATCGGATGTCAATGAATTCTTCTGTTTGAGTCTAGACCTTTGGGGAAAGAGTATGATTAAATTTGTAAATATCTGTATATATATGTACGTATTATGTGTGCCTGTGTGTGCATATATGTGTGTGTATATTTATAATATGTACTATGTATGTTCATTTAGATTTTGGATCAATTAAAGTGTCATTCTCATTAGAGATAAGAATAAAATTGGTGCATCAGATTTATGATATAATGGCTCAAATATGTCAAAAATGCATTAAGTTAAATTACAAATGCTGTTATATTTCTCAAAATAATTTAAAATTTTTCTTCGTTGCAAAAGTACTCTTCCTGAATGCAGTAGTGTGCTATATATAATCAAAAGTGGAAAGTGAGTAGTGTGCTATATATGTTTAAAAGTGTGTAGTGTGTAGTGTGCTAGATACAATTAAAAGTGGATTCTTTAGCACTTTTCATGAGAACACCCGTTTTTCTTAAAACTGGACTCTATATGTGTATCTATATGTATGTATATATATGTATGTGTATATATATGTGTGTGTATATGTGTCTGTGTGTATATTATAATATATACTCCGTATTATGTATGTACATGTAGATTTTGGATCAAATAAAAAGGGTCATCCTCATTAGAGATGAGAATAACTTTGGTTCATCAGATTTATGATATAATGGCTCAAATGTGTCAAAAATGCATTAAGTTAAGTTAAAAATGATGTTACATTTCTCAAAATAATTTAAAGTTTTTCTTCATTGCAATAAGTACTCTTCCTGAATGCAGCAGTAGTGTGCTATATATAATAAAGAGTGGAAAGTGAGTAATGTGCTATATGAACAAAAGTTGAAAGTGAGTATTGTGCTAGATACGATTAGAAGTGTATGGGACACCCGTTCTTTTTAAATCTGGACTCTGTATATGTGCATCTATATGTATGTGTATATATGCGTGTGTTTGCCAACGGGCACACAGATTTTACTTAATGTGCCCTTCTATTAATGGACTAATTCTATTTATGATAAATTTTATGATCAGCTATCAAAAGGAGAGGCCTTTCATCACGAAAATTATACGCTTCCGCGAACACGCTGATTGAATATGTTAAAGAATTACATCTTGGTCAGTTGGGTTTGTGAAAAGTTTTGCTCTGTTTCAAGATCAAGGAATCACATGTACTGAATAACATAATTTTTACATTAATTGCTGTAATCCATCAATTTCCACATGAAATTATTGTCTAACGATACGAGCATTTCTGGTATCCTATGCTTCTACCAGATGTTCATCCCACTTTTTATAATTGATTTTCCTTCCAAACAATTATGTCACGGAATTTGTACAACCATATGTTCTGTATTCAATTCTCTCGGAGTCTTGAACCTATCTACTATATCTAGTATAAGTACATACGAAATGTAATTATTGTTTTTCCAAGTGAAAACTTAGCTGGGTGTTTTCTTATTTTACGGGAGAAGCCAACACTTAGGCATGGCCCGGGCCCGGGCATGGGCCTGACCGGGCTTTTTTGGGGAAAGTTGAGGCCCGGAATCGGCCCGGTTATCCACCGGTTCTGTCCTTCTGGGCCGGTTCAACTTTTTTGCTTTTCTAATTAACCCTCGACCCCACCCCCCTCACCCCCACCCCCCAAATGCCCCCATAACACCTTGCCCGACCCGGGAAAAACAAAAATAATTGAAAAAAGGCCCAAAACCGCCCGGCCGGTTCCTATTTTGGCTGACCCGAGCCCGCCTTATGTAACCCTCGGGTCGCCGGACCGGTCTCTGGCAACACGGTGAGCCGGTTCCAAACAGTGTTGGGCCAGTCGGTTCGGAACCGGTCCATCCCTAGGCAACACCCCTTTCTTTAGGATTTCCAAAATAATGGTGATAGGAAAGAGACATTCCGAATGAATTAGGCAGAAGAGACTATTTTTATCTCGTTTACTCATTCGGAAGCCCCATTTCCGATTAAGGGGCAGGGTGCCAGGTAGCCAGGTAGGCTTGGACAGTTGGACTCGGGCCGGGTGGCCTGACCCGGAACCGGCCCGAACCGGTGGCTTGACCAGGGACCGGTTCGGGTAGGCCCGGCCCGGGGGTTTTACGGTGCGGGCTCTGGTCAGCTAAATATGGAATCGGCCCGGCCGGGCCAAGCCCGGTTCGTTTTTTTTTTGTTTTTTTTTTTTTTTTGTTTTTTCATTTTTGTGGCCATTTGTGGTGGTTTGGGGGGTGGGGGTCGGGAATTAATTAGAAAACGAAAAAAAATAGAAACTGGCCCGAGGCCCGGCCCTTCCCCCAACCACAAAAGGCCCGACCTGGCCCGGCTCCATGCCTAGTGCCAGGGTAGTTGGTTAGGAAGGTAAGGTGTGGGTTAGATAAAAAATAAAATTTCATTTTTTTAAGTGTTGTAATTTCTTACTCCGTATTTGTATTCCAATTCTTATAAGAAAAATATATCAAAATTCATAATTTGTTATGATTTTTTATGTGACATCAATAATACAAATGTAAAGTTTAAAAAAAAATAAGTTTCAATAGGATGAGGATTTCTAGATCTATAATTTTCACAAATAGATCTAAGTGCTAAAATTAAGATTTCTTAGTAAGAGAAAATAATTTAATAATGAGATCTTAAATTTAGCATTTTAATTTATTTTAAAAATTGATTTGAAAAGCGATAATAGTTCAAACTTCAATTTTTTTTAACTTTACACATGTAATATAGGTTTCATATTAAAAATAGTATTATTGTTATAAGAATTAGAGCACAAATAAAAGTATTACAAAATTAGAGAAAAATGGAATTTTATTTTATACCTAACTACAACCTACCTCCCTAACCAACTACCCAGTTATTTCGTTTTTAATTTTCCTAACCCTATTTTATTCATAAACAAGGCTTTCAAATCCCGTATTTTTGCACGGGAATTTGCAACAATATATTAGGCTTTTGTGAGTTGCAAGAGAGGGTGTTCGCACAATTGGGCATCAATATCTCTAAGTCCCGCTTAAAAGGTTCTCTTTCCGATGGATATATAGAAGTGCATCAATATACGAGTAATATTGGTGTGGTGAATTTTAAAAATAAAATAAAATGCAGAGTTCAGCATGTGTTTTCCTTGTTTTGGAAAAGGTTGTATAGCAATAATTTTGATGAGCTTGTTTTCATAGTAGATATTAGTTTTTCTTTTTCGTAATAAATGTTGCCTTGTTTTTGTGACACCAGATTTTTTAAAGTAAATGAATACCAGTATGTTACAAAATGCAATACTCAAAACCAGATACATTTTAGGCTTGTAATTTATCTACCAAAGGAATTTTATTTATGGTACTCGATAAATTCCTTGATCATATGATGGATATGACTATCTAACCACATAACTAGATTTATTTGCTCCATTTTTTAAAACAGAGAACTTATAAACTAACTGATTATAATCGGTCTGTTGGTTTTAGAACCAAACAAGTCACTTTGGTTGGTCAGTTTTCGGTGTAGTTAGCTCGGTTGGGTTCATTTAAGAGCTAGATATTTCATGCCTAAAGACTTTGAAGTCTAGGTCAGTTTAGTCCGCTCAGTCACCTTGTCACACAAGTTATTGGGATTGACATATCGATGGTTTCACTTTTCGATGGTTTCTCATTCAAACTATAATCCTTCTATCTCACAATTAAATTAGCTTGAATTCACAGATTCTTAGGCAAAATAACTTTTTAATAACTTTTCAATTATGCCGTTCCTAAAAAATATGAATGGAAAGAGAAAATTAATAAATAATGATGTACTTTTATTTTTATAGCGGTAAAGAATATCTTATCACTCAATTTTTGTAAAAAGTGGAAATAGAAGCTTAGTTTTGGAACATCAAAAAATAGAAGTGGCTACTGCTCTCATTACAAAAGAGGAAAGAGTCAATTGAGCATATTGCATGAAATAACGTAAAGAGTACGCTATATTGTATTTGACATTCATAAGTACATAAACTCGATTATTTAGTGTTAATTGAGTACCGTTGTTAGATTAACATGTTAATATACTTGAGTTGATTAATGAAATGCTAAGTAAGAACAGGTAATGGACCGAGGTTGTGGTGTCGACCTTCATGAAGCAGACCGAAAAGGGAAAATTGACATTCGGATGTCGACCTGATGGGGGAGTCGACCAGATGGGGGTGCGGTGCATCAACCAAGGTGATGTCGACCCGCGAGGGGCTGACGTCGATCAAGAGGCTGGGGGCTGACGTTGACCTACATGCAATTGACCTATTAGCATTTTGTTTGCCAACTCACCGTCGTATTAACGTGTTAATCTAACGGGTGTACTATATTGTTTTAATAGTAAAGCTGAGTTATAAAAGGTTGATGTGTCACTCTATGATTGGCTAGCAATTATAAGAATAAACATTATTTTAACGTTTGTTAAAAAACATGCTTATTAATTAGTTGCGAACTTTCCTCCATAAAAATATGTGCATTAATGCAGGGGGTGGCGACAGGGAGGGGCTGGAGGGGGCCTCGACCCCTTCAAGGAAAAAAATTCTTAAGTATATATTATGTATAAATATGTTTAATCTATAGAAAATATGTTGATATTTTAAACTTTGGCCCCTGCAAAGTAAAATTTTCAAGAACCGGCCCCTTTAACTATAGACTTCTGCCTCCGCCACTGCATTAATGAATTGATAGTTTTAGATAACACATACTACTCCGTATTATTAGACATGGATTCCTTAATGCTTATATTTGTTTGACTAACAATTATAATATTTTCCATCACCTTTATACATTTAATTTAATATAAAAAGGCTTATCAGACTCCTCTCCACAACAATACAACAATATATAGTTACTTGACAATTCTAGATACAAAAGACAAATACCTTCTAGATAATTACTCCGTAGATAATTACCAATGTAAAAACAATATATAATGAATACCGGAGTATATTTTTTCTGGATTGAAAATTTTGATTATTAACACAAAACGGAATTTGCCAAAAAAAACAAAAAAAAAATGGAATTTTACATTTTTATTTTTCATATCCATAACCTGAGATTCATAAAAAAAACTGTGTTTTTTTGCATCATCTTTAATTATAACAAGTAATTCGTTCGTTTATTAACTTTAATTGAACTTGGATTTGGACTCATCCATACCATTCATATACTCAGTATAATTCAACAAGACTCTTTTGGATGGTTAATACCTGTACTACGTACATTTAACTGATTGACCGATCCATTTAGTAATACTTAAATTTTGGGATAAGGGTCAAATTACATAATACGATTACATTAGAATCTCATATTGAACACTAACATTTCAAAATGGACCAAATTAGAAATTATGATTATGTGTATCTCATATTAGACACTAAAGTTTCATAATTTATACTTCTTAGACACCCACTTATGGTTCTCCGCTTTCTTTAATAAAAAACCTTAGTCTTATTTTTCCTTTTCTTTTTGGTGAAAATAAACTAATTTAACTTATGTATATAATTTTGGAATATTTAAATGGAGGTTTTACAATATATAATACAATTTTAATTAATAAATTCTACTCCCTCCGTATCAAATTAACTAACCCATATGCTTTTTCACGTAGTTTAAGGCAAATATATGTAAAGTAGGAGGTTTTGGTACTGCAGCGACACTGTAGCGGTACTGTAGCTGCTTTTTGGGTGGATTTATTTCCAAAAAGGGAAATAAGACTTTTATTTTGATACGTCCCGAAAAGGAAAGCGGGTCAATTAATTTGATATGGAGGGAGTACTATGTAACAATTTGAAAATATATTTAGGACTTTTCATTCATATTGTTTTTATGAAACTTTGAGAAATATCGATTTGTTCAATTGATTTAACAATAATATAGAATTCGATTACATTACAATAGATTTTTTTAATTGAACCGTCTAATTATAAACTCTAAATCTAAATACACGAATTGGGTTATTTTTATTTTTTAGGTACATAAAACAAAGTGAAAAAGGAATACTATAACTTTCAAATGTGAAGTCTTTAGTGGGTGTTCAATAATGATCAGAAAGACGTTAAATTTGATTCATTTGAAACTTTAGTGTCTAATATGAGATATATACACATGTAACCATTCATCCGCCCCCCTATAATTGTCTAATTTTTTCATTTTTGGATTTCCTATTATATATTGTCTCATACCATATTTGGTAACATTTGTGTGAAACTAATTCATTCTTACTTTATTCTCACTTTATCAACCCATTATCAACCTTGGTGTCCAATATGAGATTATCATAGAATCATAGTGTCCAATTTGCCCTTAACCCCTTAAATTTTGAAGTGGTTCAATTGAGTGATTCTCTTAAATTGTGGAAAAACATATTTAAAGTATAATTTATTAATAAAACAAAGTAAATATATTTATAA